ATCTTGCTATTGCTCAACATAGAGATATGTTGCGATATGCAACCATTCGGGGAGGAGGTTATCGACCATCGATTCGTGATTCCATGTGGGAGACTACATCTATCTACAGTAGACTACACCAACGACATTGGATGTGACGGCGGGACGCACAATCTTGCGAGTGCCGGAGGTGTTATCTTCTGGAATTCTCCTGTTGGAGGGACGTGAAGGCGTTGTTTGGGAGTATCATGTGCGCAATTGTGTGCCATGCCACCTCCCAAACGTAGATGGTACTATGGACCCAAGCTTAGCAATAGTACGTGTTGGCTTCAGGTGCATGCTATGTGGGTCAGCTGGTCAGGCGGCCTGTATGTTGGTGTGTGATAGGTGTTCTAGGGGGATGGCACATGTCGTGTCTGACTCCACCTATCGATGTTATTCCGGCTAGACGATGGGTTTGTTCTTGATGTACTTCAGAGGGGTAGATGACTTGATCTTCACATGTTATGAATTGCAGATAGGCGACTAACAATGGGGCGACATATCACCCAACCTACTGGTTCACGCCTTCACGAAGGTGTATAGCATGTAGTTGTAGATAGGGCTACTTGAGAGTCAGAGAGACCTGACTACCAACTAGGGGGGCGAGTGGTGACATTTGAGTGTGTACTCTTTCGCGCCTTATTTGTGTGTATATGAGTAGCATGTCAACGATGTAGAGTGTATGGCGATATGTATTCGCACAACAGTTGTCATGTGATTCCGTCTGTTACTAAAAATAGCAGTCGGCCTAGGGTTTTAGGTCACGTAGGGTATATGTACAAAGACGATTCGAAGAACGTTAGTTCTTTGAGTCGAGCCTAGCGCATTGGGAGTAGTGCGAGTAGAGCAACCCGTTAGCGTTGACCTGGAATCTCTCCGGAGTGGGTTGAACTTGACTTTGTATGTGACGGTTGTTGCCAGTGGGGAAAATCCTGTATATTTCAATTGTGACATTTGAGTGTGTACTCTCTCGTGCCTTATATGTGTGCGTATGTGTATGTGAGTAGCATGTCAGCAATGTAGAGTGTATGCCGATATGTATTCGCACGACACATGCTACAAAATTGTCCGGCTCTTTTGTTCTACAAGTAACATAATCACATATTTTCTTGAATTTTGCTAGGTCATCTACTTAAGGTTTGAAGCTCTCATTTTTGTGTTAGTTGTTTCTATTTCCAAGGATGCTTAATTTCCATAAAAGTGTAATCATCTTTAGTTAGTTAGAAATAAATATAGGTACTCAAAATGTTTATATAGTTACTTTAGTGCATCCTAGTTATAGTTGTCACGTCAACGATTTGTGTGCTAGATAGATAGAGAGTATGTGTTAATTGACAACGTCACGTCAAAGATCTGTGTGTTTGTTAGGTAAGGATTGAGCGTGTGTCAGTTGGGAGCGTGAGTCAACAATTCTCGTGATTGTTAGGGTTATCCGTCACGTCATCCATCCACTATGAGTGGACGGGATGGTAGAGATGATAATTTATCTCCTTGTACTTGTTGGTATGAGCCATATAAGAGAGAGTAGAACCATTGTTGGTATCTTTCATTTTCAAAATATATGTTTTTGATCTTCGACTTAGCTATTCTATAAATCCTGGTGTTACTAGATGTATACTTTCTGATACGTCAAATGTACTTATTATGATATGAACATGTCTTTTGACTTTGAAAGTAATCATGTGCATGTCTCAAAAAACTTTATTGCACCTTTAATCAAGTATGACATCCTAATCAATATCTAACAATTTTTCTTATAATATAGAATTATATGTAATATAAAATAACTATTTATGATATATGAATTTTTATTAATTTTCTTTTAATTAAATGATATTTTTAATTTTTTTATATGTATGAATATTTTTGTCATAAAAATACTTTTATTCAGTTTAATTATAGTTTTTTTTTCTGCTGATATTGCATGAAATTTATCTCAATTTTAATTGATATTATATTATAATTTATTAAATCGTATTCAATCCAATGACTATTTATTATCAAACTAGTGATTATATTTTGTCAATTTTTAAATTTATGATCATTATTGCAGTTTAAATGATTAAAAATTACTATAATTATCTTATAAAATAAACTCCAAAGCTTGTAACATTCTTTCACAAATGAAATGATGAACTTGCAATAAAAGGTTTAAACTCATGTTACACAAATTTATATATTGTAGACAATTATTATAAAGAGCTTAACAAGTTTGTTAGATCCTACACTAACAATTTATAAACTACATTCATAATCCATCCAAATAAAGTAATAAAAAAATTCTTAGAAATTTTATTATTACTTTCTCTTTCAATCCTATTAACAACTGAGCCGATTTGTGTGATACGTTAGAAATAAGACTACAGCTGTCAAATAATCGATTGAAAAGTTCTGCACGTATGCAATTCAATCGATTGAAAAGTTCTGCAAGTATGCAATTCAATCCGTGTCATAAAAATTGAAACAATTCCTTTAACTAAAGTTCAGAGTAACAACAAGTACTTGCAATTGTCAACTGATGTATTTGATAAGTACATTTCAAGATATAGAATCACAAAAATAATAATGTAAACTATCAATGTGTAAATTAGTTTTCAGATCTATTGCATTCAAATTAGTCGACAATATCTCCGCCACACAACTTCATATATATGCGACACATCCAATTAGTGATGTACATTTTATAAATGTCTTGAGTAATTTACTACATGTGAAATCATAGAGACTCTTAACCGTCTCGATCTTGGTGGTACCATGAAGAACAAAAATTGATTCCTCTATACACAAATCTTCTAAACTATTTTTTAGGCTTCTTCGTATCATAGGTAGCTTTCAAAAACTCTCAAAGTCGTTCCACTGTTTTGCCTCCGTAACTTTGCACTTGGTAAAATTAAGTACGCACACTCTTGTTGGACTTGCTACTTTGTCAATCCTTCCACCTCCATATGTTGCTGCGGCTCTTAATTCTTTGGCTCTCGCAAAAGAGTTCCAACATCAGGCATCTTCAGCTCCTCTTCAACTATCTTGTCTACTCAACATGAATGATGCATCCATCAAACTGATTATTCTAGATATCCATTGTTTAGAATTCATTCACCCAAACATTAAGATGTGAGCCAGACCTCACATCTTATTGTTTTTGTTCATAGAGAAAGCTACTTTAAAAAATATAACTTCTAAGTCTTCCCAATGACCAACAAATACATTACAAGAGTTGTTGATTCATATGACTAGGATGAAGGGGAAGTTTGGAAAGTTAAGTCTTGTCTGGTTAAGCATGATTACCTTAACAAGATTGATATATATATAATAAAAATAAATGGTCGCGCTTAGTTGATTAGTGTGTACACTTAGTAACAGTCAAGTTAATAAGACGATTAGTACTGCTTGTGAACATAGCCTATTGGTGAATGACATATGTCGGTGTTTTTGTTGAATGTTGTGTTCATCGATCGGAATAAGAATTTGTGCTCGAAGAAACAAAAAACCTGTCGTCACATTTATGGAAACCATAAGCTTGTGAAGCACACACTCAAAAGCACAATCGTCTCGTTATGCAGGCCCCGTCTGGATGGAAGACCACGATTAGAAAAAAAAGACTACCGAGGAATTACCAGGGGAGAAAATGTGACTTCGTGGTAATGATTAAACACCTCGTCACAAAGCGAGAGTCGTCCATGTGTGGGAGAGGTCTAGTGGGAACGAGTAGGTTTCGATTAGACACTGTGAGTGCACAGGTTCGATCGTCCAGGTGGTTTACGCGCAATGAGCGGGCGCATCCGAGTAGGCAAATGCGAGAACTGTGGATCCACAAAGATCGCCTGCGATCCACTGTCGACCACAAAAGCATATGAACAGAGGATGGACCGTAGTTTCAAATCCGTCCTCATACGTGTTATAGCAAAATCTCCTGAAGCCTCGAGGAGTTTGTTGTCTTGCGCTCGATGCTTCATTCATTCTATCCGAACGCCAGCATCGGATTCCTCCGGAGCACAGTGCCAGAGCAGGAGACGAAAGAATTGCGGCAGCGGAAGTATCTGAGGCTTGGCAAGCACGTCTCGCTCTGCCTCTCCCTTCGGCCGCAAACACGGTTCCGGACGGCCGTGATTCCGTATGGCCCATACGGAATCACGGCCGTCGGAGACATCCCCCATACGGTATGGGGGATGGCTCCGACGACGACGACTTTGACTGCTCGAAAGAAGAAGATCGATGGCGGATCCTGTACGACCGTACTATACAGAGCGGCGAACGGATATGTTTTTTGAGAGAAGATGTACAGCGATCGGGTGCCGGAAAGCGGATCATGGTCGATGACGGCGACATGGAGCCCGGAACCGGCGCTGCAAATCGGGCGAGAGAAGGGAGCGGGGAGCGGACATCCAGGAATCGCAGCAAAAGGTCAGAAAAAGGCGCGGGCGCGGGTGACCCGTGACGGGCGAGGTCCGCCCATGCGGGAGCGGAGGAGCTAATGATAGTCCGAATTCAATTGGCTACAGCGGAACAGTGCATGATACATCGGCAACGAGATATTGATGCTGGTGGGGTCCAACGATCGAACCGAGGGGAGCTCGATGACCGACTGACAGGCGAACTGACGGCCTGCCTGCCGGAGACTGACCGGGTGGGGACCGGGGGCAGGGAGGGAGAGGAGGAGGACGACGAGGGCTCGTCTCCTCGGAGAGCGAGAAATGTTGGTAATCTGCGCTGGTGCGCGAAGCGCGGTGGCATGTCGTGGCGCAGTCGGGCAGGGCCTGTGACAGGGGAAGGGAGGGGAGCAAGAAAGAGGAGGGAGGGACGGGGAGAGAGAGGAGGAGTTCGTTGGATCCGATCGCTTGTCGGGTCTGAGATTGCATCCTGATGAGGTATTGGGTGACCGCGTTTTGTTTCGAAGCGAGCGCTTTTGTGGGGTGGCCGGGGCTCGCATACGACGAAACGATGGTGGCATTGGTTTAGTGTTGTGCTGCGCAGGCCAGTGAGCGCAGAGCAGACCGAAGGAGAAGGGAGCGAGAGAGCGAGAGAGGGAAAGAGCGAGAGAGCGCGTTCGCGCGGGTGACTGATTGGAGAGTCGGGCAGAGAGTCCGAAAGGAACATTTCGTTGTTTCTGTCGTGTCACTCGGACAGCGCGAGAAGGAAGAGTGCGATCGAGAGAGAGAGAGAGAGAGAGAGAGAGAGAGAGCCTTTTCTGCCGAACGAAAGCGACTCCTGCAGGATCAGGGCCCCCCCCCTTCGTCTCAGACTAGAGCTGGCCACAGAGCCGTGGGCGGCATCGCTCCAGTTGGACGTGAGGACTAGAGTAGGCAGTGAATGTCGTTGCTCAGAGAGAGAGAGAGAGAGAGAGAGAGAGAGAGAGAGAGAGAGAGAGAGAGAGAGAGAGAGAGAGAGAGAGAGAGAGAGAGAGAGAGCTTGGCCTGGCCAAGTCCGTAGTGTTGTGCCGGTGCGGACGGAGGGGCTCTGTTTTGGATAAGGATGTTTGAAACCCAGTGAGGAAGATGAGGCCGCAGCGGTAGATGTCGGACGGAGGAAGCTGTAGTAACATGTGCTCGTAATTGGCAGCGAGGTTGGATTCGAGTGAGGCAGCAGCATTTCGCACTGCTTGCTGTTGGCAGTGGCCAAGTCATTTTTTCGAGGAGCGACAGGGTTATGTGTATCATTCAAGACCCACTCTGGTAGTCTTTTGCACCAACTCCGTTACTCGAGGGTGGGGAGGGGTATCTCTTGGGCTCCTCTCTTCTTCAGCCCCTTCATTCGGTTGTGTCCATGCTGTTCCGAGTTACGCTGGTATGAAGGGCATGCGTAAGTCACGAAACGGAAGCCGAAGAATTCTGCCCAACAATGACCAACTTCAGTTCCAGGCAGTTTGGATCTTGACGAGGGTCTGGTGAAGCCGTTGGGATGTTGTGAGCGTCCACGCCCACCGTAATCACACAGACAAGTGTAATCCGTTGTCTTTATCTCCAACAGGTGCCAGGGTTGTGCACAGAGGTGTAGGAAGTCAGCGGGGCGAGTGGAAAGAGGCATGGCCTCCGGATACCAGAGGAGGTCCATATGCCCAAGAGGAAAGTGTTCTCACACATAATGACAGCAGATTGGAATCCCGAGAGAGTAGGAAGCATTGGCGTGGAAAGAGACTACGGCTGCACGAGAGTGCCATCTCGAGAATAGGACCATCAGGAAATCCTGCACGAAATTCTGATCCATGCGGACCTTGTTGGTGGAACAATGTGTTGGCGGCCACTAATTGGTCAAAATTCTGGAGTTTTTTCCTTCATCAGTGGAAAAGCTCAATGGCGTACCGGTTGCTTTGAGAGATCTTCGTTTGCCATCTGCAAGTGATTGTAGGTTACACATACAACAAAATTGGACCATTTTCCGAGGGCGGTAATGACGGAGCTTGCTGTCAGCAAATAACACTCAGGATGGTTGACAGTCGAAGAAGTCGAGGATATCGCCTTCAAGACATCCGATTGTTCGCTCAGCGCTTTCTGCAAAATTTGATTTAAACAAACTTCTTGCCTATCTGCTGGTGATCGGTTGGAAAGAACCTCTCATGGCGTCTAAGAGTTGGAGAAGGGCAATGTCATTACCCTTTTTGCTCCTCGCATGATGCTACACACGACAGTGAAACATTGAGTTGTTATCCTCCTATCCTTGCTCCGCCGAGACAGAACTGAGCGCTCAAGCTGATGGACGATTTGAGTGTTGTCCATCTCCAGCCGTTGCATCAGTCAGTTCATCTGGTTTCCGAACGATACCGCAAACGATGTGCACTTCAGATACTATGACCATTATGAAATGTTGAATATGGACCAAATGGGGAAAGCATGGATCTTGATCCCCATTTTGGTCTGGCATTGTCGGCGCGACTTCCTCTTAGGATTCAAACATGTGCTGAAAACGGCCCTCAAACGGCGATCGGTGGTCTCACGCGCATGCTTGGTTCCGAGCGCTTCTTTTTTGAAGGTACTTTCTGCTTTTGTCGTCTTACAATGCTTAAAAGTGATAGCGGTAGAAGAGGTTATTCGAGCAGTTCATCATCAAGTATTCCACCGCGCGCAAAGCACTAAAGTCGCGCTAAATCTTGCCGCAAAAGACATAAGTGGGATGAACAGGAGGGTAATTGTGATCTTTTGATCCAGCAGTTTCATGCAACAGACAATGTAAAGGATCAAAGTTTGAGATCGCTATGCATGCAACCCTCTCGTTTTGGCACCGTCTAGAGCTTAATTGCTCATCATCCTGAATCCCATTATTCACCAGTGCATGTATCACTTGTTTTTACCAACATCTCATCTTCATTACCGGCCCTGTCGTGCGGGACGAAGCTATCTAGACATCCTCTAAGATTGGGATGTGACGGGGAACAAACGTAGGTTTTCAAATCAGCATTTGATTATGTCTTTGATACTAAGGAACACGCATGGCGGCTTTCTGAGAAAGAGCCACCAACGTTTGTAAACCCACGCGTTTTGAATCCCTTGCGACAAGAGCTCCATTTATGACTTTCCCGTGTGTGCAATTTTCCGCCACGTATGTCAAATCCGTGACAAAGATGTTTGGAGATATTGACGACGTTCCGTAGAGTACCATGTAATGATCTTAGACACATTTCTTTTAATTTAGTAAAGTAGTGAAGCGATGGGGGTGTCACCAGCTTTAGTTTTAACCTCACTCGGTTCTGTAAAACAGGACTGCTGTCTAATCGCCATTTTACCTTGCAGATTGTCCTGCTACTTCTGTGGATTGGAACAGTGAACTGCAGGGCTGATCAAACTCGAGTAGAGAATCATAATAGGAATACAGGGAGGCACACCACTCAGACGCATTCCTGCATCCACGACGAAATTTTGGAGCAGAGGCGAAGGTTGGGGATCAAAGAGTTTACAGTAACACCTCAGGTTTATGCTAGCCTTGATGAAGAAAATGAGGAATACAGACGGGGCCGCGGGCTTTTAAGTGTTTCGAGCTGGACAGATGTAGATGTAGATAGAAGGCAGTCAATCAGGATATTTTTAAATTACGATGCGGTGGGACATTCCCCTGACAGAGATTGTCGCACAGTTGGAGACATAGTGAAGGTGACTCTCGGCCCTATCTCCTGATTCGAAATGCTTCTTCGGAATCGCGGTTGTTCTTTAATCATGAGTAGATGCGGCTAGATGCGGCTTGACTATGACCATTGGTGGTAAGTCAGCTTACGTTGCTTTGAGAAACTATATATCAGGGTTTAACACCTCTGTGGCCAATTTTCAGTTAGGTGAACCTGCGCCGAGTGCAGTCTCAGGATCTCCAGCATGCAATCCCCGTGCAGACCCTCCTGTTTATGGTGACTGTTGGTACAACTGTACTTTAGAAGACATTTCAGGAGAAGATAAGCGAAAACGTCTTCACGAGGTTCGCTCCCTTCTTCTCGATTTTCAAGAAGACGTGTCGTTTGCAGTTGAACAACGCACCGAAGTCTGCTTATGTCTGTCGAAGCTACTCATAGACAGAAAGTGAATGAGGCTAGCTTAGCGAACATTTGCTATATTTTTCGACATTCTTTAGCTCTCAGGGTTTCATTAATACCAAACTGTAGACTAGCGACTCAGGACATTGCAGTTTTAGTGGGTATCGGATGACGCGTCAACTTGATTATATTCTTAGTACAGCATGGTTTTCCAGAAAAGCAATAAGAAATTGTTACTACTTCGAGAGTCAATGTGGATGTTATTTGCCTTACGCCTGTCTGGATGCAGGCATTAGGAGAAACAGCAGCATGGTTTAGAAGAGCATTGTCAGTGGAACCTGTCAAGGGTCCCTTGCGGCTCAGTGGCTACTCTGCGTGTGGGCAAGATGGTGGTGTGCAGCTGCCTCGTCAGTACGTTGACGGTAAGAATGCTCTCTTGATCCGAAGGAGCACTCCATATAGTGCTGTTAGGATCGTTGTGAGGTCATAAAGCTACCAAGTGGTGTGTGCGAGATTTCGATGTTTGACTCGCTGGGGTTGTCATGCAGAAGGAGTCATGGATGCAGACTTGGTGCTTCTAGTGACGACAAGGCCTACAACCGGAAATACCTTGGCGTGGGCTGTAGCCTGTGAACGTGACCAGTGGGGTCGTGCTATAGCCGGTGAGGATAGTATTGACTGCTCTCCAACACCGGAAGTTGCAAACGAATGGTCTTGATTGTTTGAACTTGACTGAGTTTGCCTGTTATCATCCCCTCGTGCATATCGTAGAGAGGTACTACGAGGATTTCTGGAGGTCCCTTGCAGTTCAGCATTCTCATCTTCCAAACACTTTCATAGGCTCTAAATTGCATTGCATCTTTGCTTCATAGGTCACGTGAATGTTGCCCCAAGGCATCTCACAGCCGAGGCGGAAACTCTGCTGTCAGCTACCCTCATCCATGAGGTAGATTCAAAACCTGCAGGGGAGCTGATGCTTGTTATGGTCCCCTTCGAAGGAATACTCGTTAGCTATCTCAGGCTTCTGATGGTGTTCTTAATGCTTCATTGGGCCTTTCTTCTTACGTCTGCTGTCTTTTTTCTATCTAGGAAATGCTAGTTTCGGGAGTTATTAATGGGATAAAGCCCCCGTGGTTCTTAAAGTGCCTCCGGTCGTGATAGCTAATTAAATAAGGGCGTAGATATGTTCAGCTTCGCATAACTGACCTGAAATGTTGTCAATACTTTGTAGGTTATGCACGTCTTGGGGTTTGACCCACATGCATTCGCTCATTTCCGAGACGAACGCAAGAGGAGGAGGAGTGAGGTAATGACTTATCTTTCACGTCTAGACTGGAATTTGTGAAATTATTTCCATGCTTTTGTACCATGCCAACTGTGTGGTTGCGAGGTTGTTTTGTTCGCTTTACGTCCAAGAAAGTCGTGGATGAGCCAAACGCAATATCTTGAAGCGTATAAAGCCAATGGACGTTCATGATAAATGGAAGGGGTTCATCGTTGCACCACGAACAGGATTTTGAACCATTCAAGCGTTATTTCATTTTGATTAGCCTATGGAGTAGTATATCTTAAGCTCTTCCTTTCTTGCAGGTAGTACGGCAAGGATTTGATGAAAGGCTGGGGCGCATGGTCACCCGGGTTATATTACCACGAGTCGTCATGCACTCACGACAACATTATGGAGTGCGCCCTCTCTCTTTCACTTTTTAGTGTCCTACCATATTTGATTGGAATGTCCATTTTTTATGTATCCATGGTTTCTGCATTGTAAGAACTGATGTTCTCTTTAGGAAAATCGAAATAATTTTTCGCTCTTTCAGTCTTAGGTTTCACTGAAAAATTCATACCAGCTTTCCATCAACCTCCTACTTGTAGTTAGTATTTCGTATGTTAAGTGAGGTACTGTGGAGTTACGCAGGCTTACTCAGAGGACTTTTTGGGCCTTGAACTCGAAGATGGTGGTGGACGGGGCACAGCTGGTGAGCAACTTGCATCAGTAGAAAACATCGTTCTTAATACTCCTTGCAGAGTATGAATCCCTGTTCATATTAGCTGCAAGTTCTGCAGATCACGACCTTGTCGCTGTACTGCATGTATGTGAATGATGGCCAACTTTACAGTTAGTCGCTGGACAGAGGAATGATAACAACGAAGATCACCTCATGCACAGCGTAACATCTTATCTATGTTTGCGTTCAGGAAAATATTAATGGGTACTATTTGTGTGTATTCAGGTTCACATTGGGAAAAGAGACTGCTGATGAATGAAATCATGACTGGGTCTGTTGATACTCGTTCCGTTGTGTCTGCAATGACGCTAGCGTTGTTGGAGGACAGCGGGTGGTATAGGGCAAACTTCAGCGTGGCAGAGCAGCTAGATTGGGGTCGAAATCAAGGTGTGGATTTTGTGAGATCCCGATGCAGCGATTGGAATGGAGCTTATTATTGCAACTCAACTCATTCTTCTGGTTGTACCTATAATAGAGAAGCTGAAGGCTACTGCCCTATTGTAAGATATAATGGTAATTTACCACCTTGGGCACAGTACTTTCCTGAGGGCAACAAAGGTGCACTCCTTACTCCCCTAATGATTCACTTTTTCCCAAAGTTCGTAATTTGGTGTCGGTTCACCCATGTTCCTTGTGAGGAAGTCATTCGAGGCAAACTGCTATCATTGTGGAAGTATTGCAGTAAGGGACTCACATTACCGATGATTCTTGTCTCTGTTCTTTTGGAACGTGCAGGCGGCCAGTCATCTCTAGCTGACTATTGTGCATATTTCGTCGCATACTCGGATGGTTCCTGCACTGATACTAACAGTGCCCGTTCACCTGATCGAATGCTTGGTGAGATGAGGGGTGAAGATTCACGGTAAATATACCCCTTCAGATCAAGTTTCCATTAGAAATCTTAAAGACTACATATAGTTTGTTTTTTTGTCTTACTATGTAGTCTTCTTTTTCTGGCTGGAAGCGTGACAAAAAACTCTAAATTTCCCCAACTCGTGTAGGTGCATGTTGTCGTCTTTAGTGAGAACGGGATTCGTACGAGGTACCCTTACTCAGGGGAATGGATGCTATCAGCACCGCTGCAACAATCATAGTTTGGAGGTACTGTACCCACTTTTGACGAACTTCGGGACCTCTTTCTACTCTTTGATATCAAATAAAGTCTTGAAGTTTGCAGTGTAAGAAATGGTTTTCTATTGTTGTCTAGAGAACTGGATCCCCTGGATGTATCTCATGACGTATATATCTATGTCTGTATGGTTCGTCTTGTCACAGTCTTAAGAACTTGTCTACTTGTCTTGATAGTTATGCAACAGACTTACCTAGGTTGCAATCAATTTTCCGTGCTTACGTTGGCCAGACCAATTTTGATTCGTGGAGGATGTTACCAAATCCTGACTTGTGGATAGTCATTTATTGTTTTTATTTGCTTATCACTTACAAGTTGCTTGTGGGAAGTATTACATAGGTCGCCGTCGATGGAGTTTGGAAGGTTTGTCCGAAAGATGGCGGTGTTGTCCAGTACTCTGGCTTCAATGGTTTGATCCTCTCTCAAACCCTTCAATCACAAGGCCAGGGGTGTTAGGCTGAAGTTTCGGGAGCACATTTACGGTTTTTGTTTACTAAAGAATATTCAGGATTCACGAGATATTTTTTTTCATGTTTGTTGAAGTCAATCTCTGGACTATTGCTCTCGAACTTGTTGACATTCTAATGCAGAAAGGGTGGACATTCTGCATCAGACGGGGTGTTAAAAATTGACCTGGTCGACGGTCTTGGTTGACAGGTGAGCTGATCTGTCCTCCTTATCATGAACTGTGCAACAAGTTTGCTCGAACGTTGCCAGGGGAGTGTCCACACGCATGCCACTGGAACGGCGAGTGCATCAATGGAGAATGCAGATGCTTTATTGGCTTCAGCGGCGACGATTGCAGTGAACGTAAGTGTTTCCTTCTCGTAATGAAGAAATATTCTCTAGTTTTTTTGACTATCCGTATGATATTTATTTCTTGAAATTTAGCTTGGTTTCTCATATCCCGAGTCCAACTAATAGGAGGTCTTTGGGTATTCCTCACATGCATATTCGAGTAGCTGACTCATTAACAATCTGGCTGCCTTATTGTGCCATCTGTAGGTGACTGTCCTAATCAGTGCAGTGGACATGGACTCTGTACGTCGACTGGTATATGTGAATGTGAGTCAGGCTACACAGGTGTTGATTGCTCAACTGGTAGGTTGCGATAACGAGTTGTATCACGCTACAAGTCGTGCGCTTTCAATGCGTTTCTTCTGTTATTCCAGTACATATTGTATTCATATTTGCGCGATATTCATTCAAGTTTTTGTCTATTGCAATTTTTCTCCTTCAATTTTCTTGATGCACATTCATCATTGACGTCCATGTCTACAGCTGGTTGTGATGAACAGTGCAGTTTGCATGGGGGTGTGTGCGATAATGGAGTATGTGAATTCCGATGCTCCGATTATGCTGGGTATACATGTCAAAATAGTTCCGGACTCATACCTAGCCTTTCACTATGTGGTGATGTCCTTGTTGGTGAAGAACAAGGCCAACATTGTGCACCTAGTGAGGCCAGTATTCTCCAGCAACTCGAAGCTGCCGTAGTGATGCCCAATTACAATCGGCTGATCCCAAGTGGTCGACCTTTTTTCAACGTTTTTGACAATGGATATTGTGCTGCAGCAGCCAAACGCCTAGCTTGTTGGGTATAATTTTCCTACCCATGGAGATTTCTTTTATGAGTACCTGCTGGAGGTCATGCTTGATGTTCACAGATTTAAGTGAATTTATCCTTAGGAAGGACACGGATTTCTGTGATGGCGAAAAAGCGGACAGTTTGTAGGCTAGTCAACTTGACGTTTCTAATTTTGACCGCTGTCACAGATTTCAATTCAGAGATGTGACAGAGATGGTGATAATCGGCTGAGAGTTTGTCATTCGGCATGCGAATCGTACAACTCAGCATGTGGCGCACGACTAGATTGCTCAGACCGAACACTGTTTAGCGGAGAGGACGACGGGGAAGGCACTTGTACAGGAGATGGGGCCGTACGCCCATGGTGGCAGTTCCATTTCAGAACTCTTCTTCTTGTAGGATTATTAGTGACCACAACATGCTTCTTTATAGGAGCAATTCGACATATTTATCGCGCATGTCAGACATGTAGAGTGAATGGTGTGCACGACTTGCATGGGGCTTACTTTTCTCTGGAAGGTGAGTCACCAGCTACGAAGCCGTGGGCTACTTCGACGAGGGGATCCATGACAGCATCAGGATTCCCAGGGTTTTGGTGGCCGCTTACTGTTTTAAAGGAATGTAGCCACGCCTGTAGAAGTTTTCTCAGAGATAATCTTTCGGTTAAGATATTCCAATTATTTTCATGGCGAAGGCATGAAGATGATATTGTTGAATCTGGGAAGCATGTACGGAGCTCTGAAGCTTCACCAGAATTGTAGCAATTAGGATCGCAAAGCCTTTTGAAAGGCTGTTGCATTTTGAACTTCTCACGTAGCGTGGCCAAAACTGGCCTAGGTTCATTACACCAAAAGGTTAGACGAAGTCCACTTTCTCATTCAGGGTCGGGGTCTGGAAGGCAAGCAAACATGGATAGTCTCCGTTCTTCATCTTGTCCTCACGTTGCAGTAGGTTGGATGAATGCCGTGTAAAATGAAATCTTGCTGGATGTTCGACTGTCATAGTGTGTCTCATCCACGTCGTTCTCTCGCCGCCAAGCACTGCCTGGAATGCTAGTACAATCGTATCTCGTGATGATTTATACATTCTACACAGTAAATATCAGTCGGATTCTAACTCGGACCGAGCGAATTGTAAGGACTGTGGAGTGCGTGACACTTTCGCCAACACTGTACACAGGCACGTAATAAATAGCATATATTCAACTGTTCAGTGAGCCGGTTCTTATCCCAACTGCTCTGTACCTCGTGGCGACTTGAATAGTTTATCGCCCTCTCACCGGTGACCATCAGTAAGAATACTCTTCGCGACCCTCAAAGTCTGAACATATTGGACATGGCTTGCCAACAAGTGTCATGGCTTTAGTAGAGAATTCGACAGAGAGGCAGAGTGTGCAGCAACAATTGTATATTTAAAATATTTTATGCTTGAAGAGGAAAGAGACTTACATGCGAAAACCAACAGTATTGCTCCTGAGGTAACAGGAAAGCTGGATTGGAGGTATAAATCTGAGTGAATGTGGACAACTACACCTCTACATTAAGCGGCTTGAAATACCTATCTTACAAGATGTCATTTCAACTCAACTACTCATAACAAACTTATGGGCTGCTTCAGAAAAGAGTTCATAATCTCTGAGTTGGATATGTTAACAAATATGGAATACTACAACCCTTGGTTAGATGGCTTAACCTGCCATAGTTCGATGTACTTTTCAGCATAGATCAGCTCAATTTTAACTATTCATAGCCAGCTTAAATCGCTGACTTGAGAAAACTCTCGTTATGCCTGCTTGATCTTTCACCATCAGCTATGAATACATCATGATCACCTTTCTAGATTAGATATCTTCCTCAACTTTAAGCTCACTGTTGTGGTTCTCTCTTTAAAAGTCTAGACCTCTCTCGTAGTGCCACGCCCAAGTATTTTCAAAGTCGCGTTCTGGCCATCATGACTGTTGCGATTCAAGCTCTCATCCCTTCAAGAATATGGTCCTCCTAATTCCCACATTGAGTACTCTTCATTCGTCATGCATGACTGAACTGCTAAGGTTACTTTTGATATAAGGATCCACCAATCCATCTTGCTTACTCTTCATGTTCCAATTTTTTTCTGTAATCAATTCTCCCTCGTCTTCATGAGCTAAGACTAAACATTCAACCCATGTCTACTTATTGTTGGACCGCTATTTCCGGACAATCTTATATCAATTTACTGTATTACAAACGTTGGTGGCTTTCTTTTGTACTGTACTTTATTCGTTTGGATAGCCACCAACAACTTTTCAATACTTGTGTTATCTCTAATGCATTTGACAAGCAAATGTCAAGACTATACAATTGTCATATAGTCTTGATTAGTGTTTGCCACGATATGCAATTAGGCTCAACACTAATTAGCTTGTTGTGCGAACAAATGAATGATAAAATGCATACACAAAAATAACATTTTAGGATATGAAAAAGTTTATTTTCACGTGACCTGTAACCTTTATTTTCCATCTCATGCATGCAATTTAACTTATCCATGTTCCATTTAGCCTGGATGTCTTGTTCCATCATCACCGTAACCTAGTTGATTTTGGAGATATTCCATGTGGTAAAGACCCCTAAACACAACGCTTACTTGACTAGTTTGTATTACATATCTTGATTCTGCTATACCACTCCATTTCCAAGTTCTACTATCTCAAGATTTTTTCCCAACTTTTGTCTAGGTTAAATTCGTTTTCTTCATTTGAGTCGGGTACTCTTTACAAAGATTGTTCGTATTCCACCCCTACCCAATCTCCAACACTATACTTTTTTTGCTGTATATGTGGTTAACTTCTCTTGTAAGTCTTCTACATTCTCCATTTGTAGCTTCCTATTCACAAAGTTTCACAAATTGAGTAAATTAAATAAACTTTTAGGTCATGATAATTCCTTTCCTTTCGTTTACCAATCATAAATTCTTGTGCTGCATTAGCAGTGTATTCACTTGCCAGTCACTTTCCTCTATATGATATCCTAATATAAACTGATACGTATTTCATGTTTTGATCTTTAATGATAGCCATTTATTGATACAAATAAATCTAAGTTGATGCTGTCATTAGTTTCAATTGTTTTAGGTCGTATGAGGCATTATGATGCTGCCTGGATGATCAAATCATGAAATAAACATATCATTCAGAAGATTTATCCATAAATACATCTTTTGGAATCCACATACAATAAAGGACATGAATTGATATTGTTTGATTAATGTTACTTTTGGAATAATATGAGCAATTGATACAAAGCCATTCTGCATATAAGAAAAAAAAAAGACAGATTCATTGAAGACATAAATTTCTTTGTCGATGAAAAGATATGAAATTACAAAGTCAATTCTTGGACCTTGCAAGCAAAAATTCAAAAACTAAATTTTTGGTTGTAGTTTAGATTGAAAAAGCATTTGTATACAATATTAAATAGACGCATATAGACAAACGTATCTTTGTTAATAATTGAATTATAATATAGTAATATGACTTAATACCTAGTTTTATGACAAATTTGTTTGTTTTAATATGACTTATAAAGAATAAATAGATCAAGTATTGATGTTTAAGAATGAACATTTTTATTTTTTTTCCTGTATCAATGATCACACTTGTACAAACAAACACATGTGATCCAAGTGAAAAAGATTGATTTTTTAAATAAAAAAAAATTATTTTAGAATTGATTTAAAAATCTAAATAAGCTTGCAAGTTCAAGAAAATGGAAAGATGCAAAGTTCTTTTCAATCTAAATTTCATCTCATTTAACACAAAAAAGTGATTTGATGTAGAAATTCAACAATGTTTGTTATGCAGATTGGCATTACAAATATTAAAAGATATTCTATTTTACTAATTCAAAATATAAAATACTTATATTTAAGGAAAATTTGAAATTTGAAATTTTTTCAGTGAAATTTTGTTTACTACGATGATTTTTTTTCGTCAAGTTATTAATACATTGTATCAAAAATTGATAATTTCTATATGTTATGAAGATATAAATGATTAAAAATAAATAATATGAACTAAAATTTATAAAATATAAATAATAGAAAAAATATAATATTTAAATTTATTGCAAATATAATATATTAAAAAAATGCAAGAGAAATAACTGTATTCAATTATCTAGCATAATTTCACATAACATACTTGAAATCCACACTATAGAAGATACAAAAAATAACAACGTGGTTTGCTCTTTTGGCTACGTTAATGAAAACACACAACTCTTGTTTAGCACAATGAGCAAATTTGTCGCGCTAAGTAGTATAGCAGAGACACACTCAGTTCAACTGATACCCTAAAATCAACTCTTATAATACTATGAACCCACCTTTATCGACATTATGACTGAAGCATCATACTCGACCAAGATTATATCTAATCTACCTCTTAACAATGTCCGGAGACCAACAAACTCCTTAGTCTTCCACACAATACTTGATTACTATGCGAAAAGTCCTAGATGGAAACGTTAAAAAGGCATGTTTTTAAACAAGAGTTAATCAGAACTAAGCCGTAGCCAAAACAAGATAGAGTATAAATATCTATAAATAATAAAAAAATTGCTAATAAACTTTACTTGCTCCTCATACATAGAAGCATAATGATTTCTAAAGCTCTTTTAAGGAATAACTTTGGTAGATACATGAACTGGATTGATTTAACTTCAATCTTGACTAGCTTTATCCCTTATTAAGAAACTGCATGTTGAATAAAATGATTCGTGATGTCAATGTGTTTCACTTTACTAACCATAACTTGATTTGCAGCAAGATGTAATGCACTCTCCCTATCACAGTTAAAATCATGATAACCATTTCTTTCAATGCCATCTCAATGATCAATTTATCCAATCAAATAACTTTCTTTGCTAATTCTGTTGCCACTTTATATTCAAATTTTGTTATAGATTAAACTACACAATTTAGCAAGGTAGATTCCAACTAGTGCATTCATCATCAAGTGTAAATACACATTCAATTGTATATTTTCTTTGATTCAAAACTTGTCTATAGTCACCATCAACGTAGCCTAGTAAATATGTGCCATTGTCTAATAAATCATCAAACAATAAAACATAATCCTTAGTATTGGTCAAAACTCTGAGAATTCATTTCATTGCTTCTCAATGCAACATTTCTCGATTGGACATGTATCCGCTCATCTTGGCCATCGCTAGAGCAATATTTTACATTATGCACACCATCAAAAACATGAGGCTAGCCATAAATTTTTCATAGGAAAAAAAAACAATTTTTTTTCAATGACATTGGTTGAACCTTGAGCTACAAAAACTTCAAAATGTGTTGCCAAAGGAGTACATACTCCTTTTGAGATTGATTTGTTAAATCTTTCAAACACACATTAAACGTAATTGATTCAATTCAATTATATACTCTTCTGAACAAAATTTTATGAATTTACATACTTAATATACTCTTGAAATTACATAATATCTTCATATTAAATATAGATTTTAGTTGATTCTTGCGTCTGTCAATCTCAGATTGATTTTTGTCAAGATGAACTGGTCATCTCAATAACCTCTTGCATCAAAGATTTTTGCCATATTTGCCATCAAACAACACATCTTATACATTCAAAACAATTTGTGCATGGAATTCCTTGTCTGCAGATTGGCAAAAGATAAGCGATGCAAGACATGCAATCTAATAAAGGAGCATTGGGCCAAGAATCTCAAATTGACGATTAAGAAGATAATTTGTACATTAGAATTAGTTCACAACGATCAATGCATACAAATTAAAGCAAGAACCAAATTTAAGTACTTGCTGAAGTTTAATGAGAATTACATCCATTTTACATAGATTCAATTTTTCGTCTTTAACATGGGATTTTGCATCACTTCCAATGATTTGCGTCAACATCGGATTGATTTTTGTCAAGATGAATATGTCATAGAATACTATAATAACATTGAAGATCTCATTATTAATATTTTTCATGTATATACAATGATCATATACACTCCGCAAAAAACCTTGTGTTTTCATGATCTCGTCAAATCTTGCATTTCATTCACTCGGAGTTTGCTTTGTACCATATAATGATTTCAACAATCTACAAACCAACTTCTTTTGAACTTTCTTCTCAAAGTCAAATGATTGTCTCATATAGATTTTCTTCTATAGACACTCATAGAGAAATGATACAACTACGTTCATGCAATTCATAACGATGATTAAATATTACAGCAAATGCATATAGCAAATAAATTGTAACATGGTTTGCTAGAGATGAAAAAAATTTAATGTAGTCCACACCATTCTCTTGTGTGTAATCTTTCTACACAAACTTGACATTGAAAATTCTACTCTCATCATCAGCTTGACTGTTTTTTAGCTTGTACACTCAATTGCAATCAATCACATCTTGATTTCTAAAAATGGTAACTAACTCTCAAGTCTTATCATCAATCAATAATTGTCTTTCTTGTCTTATAGCAACATTTCATGCAAGCTTGTTGATAGAAGCTTGAGCTTCTCTATATGAAAAAGATTTTTTTTCTTCCCATATCAATGCAATGCTATCATCATACTTAGTTATAATGTCATGATTTTCAAGAATGTATGAATTAGGCCAAAATTCATATCTTGCAAGAGCTTTACTCATCCAATCTGATGATCTGTTAGTAGAAGATTTTATTTGATCTCTTCTTTGGTGTAGACATTTGAATCTCACCAACAATAACCTACTTCTTCAATTCCTACTCTTTGAAAATTTGCTTTATCTGTATTGGAGCTTCTTTTTGTGTCACATCATCGATCAATCTATTCCTCAACAACATTAGTGAGTGGAGATTTTTCCTTGTTAGTAAGTAAAGCTTGAGAACTCTTCACTTCTTTAATGAACTGAGCTCATTAAACAAAACATTCCTACTAACAAGAACTTTATTCCATAGCCTAAATTAATTCAAATTTTTAACAAATTCAAGAAAAAAAACTTTTTGAATATAGGATTCAACTTGGTCATAATCTCCTTGTATATGAGATTTATATGTCGAAAATATCTTTTAAGTCCTTTTATATATGACAATAATTGATATTATCTAGCTCATCATTGTCAAACTCATTACAATACCAAGAATTAAAATCTTAACAACACAATCATAATATCTAAAATATCATCATCATCATGATACAATAGAAATATTCTCTATCATTTAAGAAAATTACATACTTATGGCAAAAAAAACATACATTTTAAACCATACAAACTTTATAAAAACATCTATATTTTTTATAGCCAAACAAATCATCCATACATATATATATATATATATATATATATATAAATTATTACATTTCCATGAATCATTCACATTCATTTATACTCATTCATGCCTCTCATGACTTTTCATTAACACATCATGAACTTAGAAAATAGTGATTTTTTTAAAGTTACCATATAAAAGACATTTTTACACAATTTCTCTATTCATTTTTGAACTAGTAGTTTACTTCAATGATAAAATAACTTTTCACGAAGTTTTTTTTCTTTATATTCTTCAAAGTTGAATTTTGACAATTTTATGTATCATATAATATATATATAAATTTCAAAATTCATAAAGATTAGTACATTTTGAAAATTATTATTTTTATGAATATCACTCATTTTTATAAGAATTGATATATGAAAATATAGCATAAAATATTAACATATTCTTAAAGCTTTAAAATAAATTATTATAGTATATCATTGATATTTTGATATCCTAGAAGTTGTTATGTTCATATATTGATGTGAGCACATGTCATTGAAAACATTTTGTTTCAAAATCATTGAATACTTTATAATCTCTATTTTCTAAACTTCTCATTTATTTAATCTAGCAAATTAAATTGATACTTAGTTCAATCAATCAAATGCTTTTACATTATTGAAATTCATGATTAAAATCAATTTTTTGATTCTTACTTTGAAAAAAAACCTGAAACTGCTCATTCACAACTTGTAGAAATTTTCTCCTATAATTTGTCAATTAAATTTAAAAGTAGCCATTATTGAGTTGATCAAAATTAACTCTTAGATTGATTTTACAATAATCAAAACCATATATCTATAGTTTTACATGAATCAAAATCACAGTGAGCTTTTGTACATGATATATAAAATGAACCTACTCAAATTAAATAGTAATAATTCATGTGGATGTTTCACAATATTTCAGAATGTTCATCAATGATTATTAATCCTTCTATTCTTTGATACATTTCAATAAGCTAAATTATTCAATGAATCCCAATCTTATCCAACAATTTACTTGCTTGCATTTAGATCTGCAATGAACGTTATACTTTTAGTCAAGCCTGAAAATTTGTTTTTTAGACTTGATAACAAACAAACAAATTGTCTATTTCTCTCAATCCAAGTTTGAAAATGTCACAACATAGCTTCATCATTCTAATTGTTCAAGTTACTTCAACTTATGAAGATTTCAACTTCATCATTGTACTGATTTCACCAAATTAAGTGTTGCATCACATCTTAGCTTTTCTTTTCATCTTCTAAGTAATTTTCTGTTTTTTATATATGTTGTAACCAACACAACACCACTAGATCATATGCTAAATGATTTTTGGCGCTATAAACAGATTTAGGATCAAAATATATATATAATAATTACACTTCATTCTGAAAGTTATGTATATATATGTGTTATTGCCAACGCAGGCACGACGCGGATATATCAAGTCATGTTTCATTAGGTTTTAGGGTTCAATCCGATGTCTGTGAGGCCACATAAATGGAGTTTAATTCAATTTAAATGAGATGGATTCTACGAATATAATATTATTATATCGCAGACGTTGGTTTCTACTAGGTACTAACGCCTTTAATTTGCCGCCTCGAAAGATAGGATCTAGCGAGGTGGCAATCTTATCTAACGAGGACTTAGTATGCTTGATTTACTTTCTTGAACTCAAAGTTTATGGTTTTCTAACTCATGATCATTCCCCTCAGGCTTGTTGTCTTCATTCGTCTCGTTTGGCCGCGGAATCTTCAAATGACGACGCAATTGCAAGTGTTGTCAATCGCTTCAAGCCAATTTGTTAGTATGAAATTGGATGGAACTCAAGGGTGCAAACACAATAGTCCTACAGGCACGGTTTGAATCTCATTCACAAATGATGCCGATCCGCAGAATGCCAAGAGTGTCAGATGCATGCAATGTAGCAAGCTCGTCAATCATCACAAAAAGAGCAAATCCGCCAAGACGCACTTCAACAAGTGTCTGAAGTTCCTCATGTTCATGAATGGACAAGAAGATGCAAATTGCGTGATTGGTCCGCGACAAGAAGTGGATCTATGTAGAGTGTGCAAATTTGCCAAATATGAAACAGGCTGTTAGCAGTAGCTTTCAAAGATTGATCAAAGATTATGCGCTTGTCTTATGCCGAGAAACAGAAGTTTCAAAAGCAGATTGTCATGCATTACTGCGCCACCGTCACCTACTTCCGACGCATCAGAGACGTATATTCAATGGAGTCTATGAAGATGCTTCTTCCAATTATGGATTGTTGCCGAGTCAAAAGCAGATGGCGACCTCTCTATTCAACAAGTGTCACAAAGAACTGAAGACAAAGGGAGATATTTGCATGAAGGTTTCTTTGACATGCCTCATCACCGACGGGTGGTCTAACATCAAGAACAAGTCAGTCATCAACTGTATGGTCGTCTCTCCCAATTCTTGTTTGTACCTGGAGGCACTGCTGACAGCCCAGCAAGGACATGATCACAAGTTCATAGCCAACGATGTCGAAGGTGTATTCAAGACGTACGAGAGCACGACCTTTGTAGGCGCAAAGATGGATAACACGAGCGCAAACAAGAAGACATGGACAATGCTATTCAAAAAGTTTCCGTCTTGCTTCTTTTAAGTCTGCACATCATACAGGCTGCAACTATTTGTGAAGGACATCTTCAGTGCGACAAAGACCAAGAAAGCAAGCAACGACACGACGACGTATCTGGTCAACTATCCGTTTGAGAATATGATGCTTTTCATCAACAAGTGCAAAGATATCGTGAAGTTCTATTACAATCATCATGTGATCACGGCGCAGCTCAAAGAGATGTTAAAAGCTCCGGATGCTCGAAGCCTTGTTCATTCATGTTCCACGCGCTTGGACACCATCGAACAGACATGCAAGACCCTGTTCATTTTAGAATACCATATGCACGCGATTGTCTCTGCACGTGATTTCATGAAGAAAACTATCGTCCAAGTCAAGGAGTGCACAAAGGTCAAGAAAACTATCACGGATTCAAAAAAATTTGACCTTTTGAAAAAGTCAATCGAGATATTGGCGTCCCTTGACATACTCATCTTCAAGTACCGATCCCACAAGGTTCCCATCTCGGACGTGATGCCAGATTTTCACGCATTGCCCCTTGAATTCTCAAAGCTACTCGCCTTCAATATCATCAACAAGTACAAGCTTGCGTATTTGATCAAGACATGCGTCTTGCGATTGATGCTTATGTACAGCAACGCACACGGTTTGGCTTACATGCTTGATCCATGGTTCATTGCAGAGAGAATGCTAAGGCTAAATCGTGAAGCATTGAAAGACAACATGTTCTGTAAGACCGGATATTGCATGTGTGAAATAAAACTAGAAGTAGCCAAGGAATTAATCATGGTTAGGATAGTTATGGCTAAATCTAGCTAATTATGATTAAGTCTAGCTAATTTAGCTATAATGTCTATACTTGGCGGAATAACTAGAGAAGTTCTAGAAGATTTGAGTGAGCACTATTATTTTGTCTTGTACAAAAATCTAGATTCCAAGAGAAAAGACTTTTTGACTTCATGTTCAGTTTTGATTGGTTTGACTAAGTAAAGAGTACTCCATTGGTTAGACTAAGTCTTATGTTGACTTAGTGGAAAGTGCAAGTTCTAGAAGTTGGAAAGTCACAAATAGCATGTCGTCACCTCAATCTAGGTGTTGGTAAACATCTAGAAGGATTAGAAGGCCAATGGCATGCTACCACATATTGATAACTAGTCAACCTTACTATGATTTATCTTTGTAAATGTAAATTAGATAGGAATTACCATTTGTTACTATGGTAAATTCTCAAGTAGTATATATAGAGAGGTAGGGAAGAGACTCTCAAGCAAGTTTGGAGAGTTCATCTGTAAAGACTTGTTTCATATATGAAAGAATGACAAATTTTCAGTACCTTGGAGTGTCGATGTGTGTGTGAGTTGGAGTGGTACCTTGAGAGATTGTGTGAGAGGGTGTTTGAGCTATGAGCATGAGGAGTAATCCTAGTCTTCTAGAACCATGATGAGCCACCAAAAAACCACCTAAGGTAAACCTGAGTAAGAGTCAGCCTGGAGGTTGCAATTCTGATTTCAAGCTGATAATGAATCACGTGAGTCTTTCGACGAAGCGCGAGTGCAAATCATCTTCAAGCGGTACACCGAGTTCGTCATCACCGCTACCAAAGCAAAGGAGGAGGAGTCGATGCGCTACACAATGCTATCCAAAAGCCACAAGACCGTTTTGCAGTATTGGTTGATCGATGGCAAATATTGGACCGAGCTGCGAAGTGTTGCCATCAAGCTCTTCAGCATGGAGACATGTAGTGCCGCCTTAGAGCAAAACTGGTCGACAATTAAGTTCATTCATTTGAAGCTAAGGAACTTCCTGACCCCGAAAAGCATCAACGAGCTCACATACATCAAGAGCAACTTGTCGATCTTCTACGATTAGGATGTGCAAGAGGATGGATATGGAACCGATGATTGTGATAGCGAATAGAAAGTCTCTATTCATTGTCACAATGAAAGTGACAAATAGAAGTCTCTTAGAGACTTTCTCTTGTCATTTTCGCTTGATGAAGTCATTTTCGAGACGTCCACGTGTCAATAAAAAAACCCATCAAATATCAGGTTTTATTGTATTAAATCATCAACCCAATTGATTTTGCAATAATTTACTGGTTTTAGCCACCCCTGGCTATTGCATGCACAGGTCTCCACATAAATTGTAACAATACTTGCCTTTTGATCAAAATTGACACCTACATAACATATGTGATCATCATGTTTGTTCAACTTCAGTTTTGAGACTGAAGTTGAACAAACTCCACATCTTTGCTTGCAAGAGAGGAAGAAAAAGATATGTGTGAGTGAAACAACAAATCACTCTCATGTCTATATTGTGTCTCTATGACCATCAATACAATCTTACATGTATGAGATGTTATGATCATGCAAGATACATTGTGAACATTTCATACTTATAATCTGTTTTTGGAGTATCAAACACTACTTTAACTGCGACCAGAGGAAGAGATGCAGACATTTTCTTTTGCTATATTGTTTTCTGCTGTATGTGATGGGTTTGGCCAGGACACTTTTTATTCCCCTTTCTTGTTGATGTCACTATATGAACTAAGGATCTCAGCACATTCTAGTGACCTAATTGGATCAGTATTTGTTATTGCTTAAAGCAAGTGTACACTATATCGAGACCAAATATGCTGGAAAGTACCTGTTTTCAGAAGAGGGTCAACTTATTCTTTATTGGGCGTCTTGAAATCTTATCCTTTAACCAAATTAGCTTTTACCAACACAAGTACAGTAGTCACCCGGTTAAATACGCACCCGTTTAGATACACATACCAGTTAAGTACGCATTTTTTTTCCACAAAAATAGGGTTTAACCCATGACATGTCGTTCATTTGGTTTATGGTCAAAAATTGTTTCTCCTCCTAGTGGTTGTCTCATCTCTGATTAGAAGCGTGAAACTCTAGTGGTTGATATATACTCCTTTAACATTAGAGACAAACTCTCGCAAAATGAAGAAAAAGATTATATTAATTTTTTGAGATTTTAGATTATGTTGAGCTATAACAGTTAACCTTGCTAGAGTCCATGATAAAATTTCAAATCACTCTCCTAGAAGCAACACCTTTTACGACTCACTTGGCAATTGAACACGACTTAGCAATTACAAATATGTGCTGGAGTCCATATATGAAATCAATAAACTCAATGCATTATTTTTTTATTTGGCGGTGTCAATAGATGTTAGAAGAGTGAGATTACATAGTCTTCTCTTTAACTTCATCACACATTATCTCAATTTAGCTTTGTGATTTGTTCCGTTTGTCTCAAGTCACTTGCAAGTTCGAGCTCTTCCACTAGAATCAGGATTTTGCTGAGTTTCTCTATGATATCAAATAGCGACGAGTCATTTAGGAGTGTTCATATAAGGTTCCTTGGACATTACACTCAAATCAAACGGTTAGGAAATCATTTTTCTTAAGTAGGCACCTCCCGGGAAAGTACGCACAGCACTCCCGGGTTCAAAGTGCCTACTAAGACTACTGTATGGATTGACATGATTAAATAAAAGCTCTCAATCTTTGTAAAAGCCCGTGCTTTATACCAGGCGAGTGGTATTACTAAGTGTTAATGTACAAAAGTAGGACACCATCTGAAGAATCCACCTGCAAAACACGATTATAGGTAGATTTTAAATATAGGAGTGAGGCTCGTCTCAGGGAACAAAACATCTTCCAGATTCCAATGCCGGTTTCCGACATATAGAGAGTACTCAATGCGAAACACGTCCCATAGGTTTAGGCTGACGACTACATGTACCGAGAAGCAAATGCTCAAAAATCAAAAAATGTAGGCTGACTATGATCAGGATAAAGGGTTTCCAAGCTCAATAACTGATGCAAGTGACACGTCAACAAAATACAACAGACTACGAGGTCTGTGCAGTTTGTGCAGTTCAATGAGCTGGACGACTTGCATCGCCTTCCCCGTTTTTTACTTGCTTCATGCCAGGGTTAAAATCTCTCGACGAACAGGTACATCCTTGCATGCTAGGGACTGTGCAGCAAACATACCTGACATCCCTGCTATGCCGATATACGTAAGCATCGAAATTTGACGACCTTTCGTTCTACCAGTGTAATATTTGGCACTAGATCTGGTCCGTACCCACTATATTACAATCCAGGGAACAGAGTAAACTTAAAGAACGTCTCGCTGGTCGCTGGTCACTGGTCCGATCTAATTCAATAGGATAGACCTGACTCGGTATCGACCCAATGAAGGCGAGCCTCGTGCCTCGGAGTAAGATTAAACTACGGCTGGAACTGCGAAAAGTTTCCACTGTCAGTTCAAGTGGACAGAGATGTTGGGCAAATGACAAGGGAAGATTTGAAAAGGTTTGGGGTCATCTGAGTAGATCTTTACCAAAGATGCGAATGCGGCATGCAACATATGTTTGACAATGTGCAACAATGTGCTTGCACGAAAAGAGTCAACCTCTTTGGCGCGTGGGCGATATTACCAATTATGGTGCTTGCAGTGAGTGATGTTGAAAATGAATCACACCGAGTGAATTTCGTTCACTCTTATCGTGCTGAGTAGAAAAGGAAAAGCTAGACAATACCGTACCCAGGCAACAGAACAAAGGCGGGTTAAGGGCCTCGGGTCTCGACGCGAAGCGCGACTTCGTGGTTCTGTACACCAAGCGTACGCTTGCTTTGCGACCCATCTCCTCCGACAGAAGCTGCTGGGAACGTGTTCGTGACTCACGTGCGGTTACATCATCCCTTTGTCACATCCGAAGTGTTCTTTACTACTCGCCAAAAGAAGTATCCGCAGTTGCTGAATTGAAACCTGGAATAAAGCAAGGAAAACTATTCCTCAATATTCTTCAAAAAGAGAGCCGCACGGCGTCGTGCATGCAATGCACCACGCTGTAGGAGAAAACGATAAATTTAACTCTTCAGCACTACAGTTCCTCTACTGAACTCAAAGTTCCAATTTCAATGTTCTGGGGTATTAAAACTATGCCGAAACTAAAGAGCACTTGACTCATTGCCCAAGCACGATTCGTTGTTACTTTATCCCTCACATGTAGCTAACCCTAAATAGGCATTATGGTAATAACACATCAGAAGATAATATGGGTGTACACCCCCAATAATAAATGATCAAATTGTACCTTATATTTATCTAAAATGGAATCAGAATAAAAATGATAAGATAATGGAAATTGTTTATATATGTACGTTAAATATTCTAACTTTCAAATTCAAACGAAATAATGTAGAGACAACATGAACTTAGAACTAATCACATTAAAAAAATTAATTTGAAGAAAATTGACGTTCTAAAATAAAAATGGTTGTACATGGTTTTGAAAACCAGATATCAACTTCCACCGAAACTTCCTTGTAAATCATGTTCCTATGCAAAAAGAGAGTTTCACTAGCCTGGTTCCTTGACAAAGATTACACTTGATTTCAATTGCCCGGACCGATATGATCCTTTTGTTCAGTCATTCAAACAAGTATGCCCCGTGGCACAAAACACTACTAATTTCACAAGGATATGTCTCGCACCAGACACGCAAGATGCACATACTAAATCATCTCTATGTCCATTAGCCACTATCTTCATTTATTAATCAAAGCACAAAGGACTTTCGACATGACGATCAGGCAACTAGTTCACAAGCAATCAGCGCGTATACCGGTGTACAATTTTCTACGAACCTCCTGTCAACTTTTCAATTCAGGATGGTGCATATCAGGATGTTATTGTTCCCTAAAGCAAAAAAATCTGATCGAAAGTCTATCATAAGAGAATAATACATAAGACAAAATCAATTCATCAACTCTAGTATTTCAAACACGAAGTAGACTTATAGAGTTTATGCGAAACAGAAATTCATCTTTCCTATCTTGAAGTTGGAACCTTCAATCTTATTGAACTATCGTAATTAAAAAAAGTAAGCAACTAGGCGGAATCCACAGGATGTGCACTGATATCCCCATTAAGCCTGTAAACGTACATCTTCGACCGCAGTGTGCACATTGCCGCGCTATAGATGATGCAAGAAAATGATGCAGGAATGTAAATAAATAGAAGTATAGGCATTTGAATTTACCTTTGCGTAACACTTAGCGTGGGTATCGCACATTCGAAGTTTCCAAGCCAAACCGAAGATTCTTGAACCTTCCCGGAAGCTGACATGTAAGCACGCTAGCTCCTCGGCTCACGAAATTGCACTTATTTACTGTCATCACAAACTATTTAACACTCATAGGCTCCGCAGAACTACCGTTCTGGCCTTCCACTTTCCTTTTTATCCATTTGCGAGGTAAATGAGGTTTACAGTGATTTAATCAACAGGGAAACATCTTCCAGCATAGATGCTCGGAAGCGAAAGAGAATAACCGGGAAGTGCTCCGTGCGTGCCTGCCGAATATCCACGTTCAGCACTTTTCCAGTGATTTATAGAAAGGCACGTCCCGACGAAGAACATCCTTTCGCTACAGCCGTAATCTACTACGTTCGCATTGAATGGGGAAGCCTTACCTTAATACAGCATTTTGATTCCGATTGTGCAATTCCAAGAAATAGGAAAATGTTGAGAAGTGAGAAGCTGTAGTCTCCCAAATCCAGTAGACAGTAAATTCGGAACAGGAGCAGAAAATTGGTAGAGTAAGAGAGGTAACTATATTAATTTATCGTCTGCAGGATGACAGACAAGACAAAAAAAGAAAAGACCTCTTCTGAGCCAGAATTACTAAGCTCAACCACTAGTCTGGAGCAGTTAGTCTCCTTAACACGTATGGAACGTGTAGAGCAGAAGGCAGCATATAATACTACACGTATGATATACTTTATTGCCATGCACACGCGACGTACCATCTATACAAATTTTTAAACAAGTGCCTTTCGACACTTAAGATAACCCTCTTAACCTTGGGTAAACCGACGAAGGAGAATATATTTCTTCCCGCTCCATTTAGCAACTCCAGGGATTCCAGCCGGTAACCTGACATCTTCTTTCTAAAAGCTTATGAAAGTCTATCTTTCAACTATCAGATCCGTCTAAATAGTGTATGGACAATATGCAAGAGGAAAGAAACAAAAACAGCCCCGCTTGGATGCAAAGGGAAAGGATCGTCCGGAGGCGCAAGCTGGCCAGTGGCAAGCACTCAACTAACCAATCTCGTTAGCTGCGCAACGTACGACCAGCAAGTCAGCTCTAATGGCAAAATTAGCGCCTTAAGCAACGACTGGAAAAAAAAACTACGATGGAGTTCGGCGTTTGTATTTAACTAAGTTTTCGGGATCTACACAGCAAAAACTTCTGAAAGAAGGGTCAATCTGTGGGCATTTTTACAAGAGTTCAGGGATTCGTCTTCAGTTCACGCGGAATGAGAAAAGTGAAAAGAGATTGGTCGAAAGAAATGTTATAAGAATGTTATTTCACTATTCGCATTCTGAAAGTGTGCTCAAGCCACTTTGGTTGGCCCTGTCAAAAATCACCTGAGAACCAGTACGTGGTACCTGATGTACACACATTTCTCTGGTACTATAACTCAACCCCTCACCAACATTCATTCCTGCTTGGAACTGCGTCCACATTACGGTTTCCAACCAGGTAGCTCCGATCATTTTTTCTTCGTGCAGACACTCGCATCAAAATATTTGCTTGTGATCTCTCAATCATCTGCTCAGTCCCCGACTTGGAAGTCCTTCATTTCGTTAGGATCGCCTTGAACAACGTGTCACTAGCGGTACGGTCCCAACCCTAAAGAAAGACCAACATCTCCATCACCGTCGAGTCTATTGCGTGGTCGGAATTCTGAACCTCGACCTCCGCCATAACCAGTCAGAGACCGCGTTCCCCTTGTTGGCAACGAATTGGGAGACGGCCATGTTCGCAATCCTTGACCATCGTATACAACACCATCCATACTGTGGAAACATCCAACATCGTCTCTATTGCCACCGAACCCGAAGTCAAGCCTCCCTACAGCCCGATTGCCAGCGTATGCCATTGGATTCCCTGGCGGACCTCCACGAAAGCCATAATTTCTGAATCCAGCCCCGCCATCTGGACCGAACCCTCCAATCCCTCGCCGAGAGCTCCCTCCCATACCTTGAAAATAATCCAATACGCCAAAATGGGGTGGGTAAGCTGAAGCTCGCCAAGGAGTCCCGGGAGGGAACATATCATTCCGAAAGTACCTCTCGGCTTCTCTTCTATCTTCTTCTCTTCTCCTCCTGTTCTCCCAGTCCCGAACAAAAGCATTTTTCCACCCACGACCACCAGGAGCCCTATCACCACCGGCGCCAAACTCCTGCCGATATTGCTGCTTCCAAAGATCTTCACTGGCTGCGAGAAATCTCAGCTCCGAGGAGACGCATGCAAGACTGGCCAAGGCGACTGCCGGAAGAGAGTCCAGAACTTTTATCTTCAATTCTGTCGGAAGCCTAAGAAGGGATGGGGGGGGCGGCAATCCAGCTTTTTCACAAATCACTGTCAGCAACGGAAGGGAAAGTGAATCTTTGACATCCTTCCAGAGCTCAAAAATGTCACGAAAAACATGGTTTTCGTTACCGAAGCCCAAAGCCATCGGGTTATCGTTGAAATCCGCGACAACACTGCGGCTCCGTTCGGTTATATCTTGATTCATATCTTCGACGCCCAAGTCCTTTTGTCTGTTCGCTTCATCGCTGGCTGTACGAAGTACAGCATCTTCAAGCATGAACTTCTTTACCGACAAACTCAAGCGATGCACAGTTCCGCCCGTTACAGCCCCATAAACTACAACGGCATTACCCACAACCTGGCAGCGCAGAAGCGCTTCCTCTCCTTGGATTCTACCGGATTCTGAATCCCTTGAAGTTAGCAGGTCTGGCAGCGAGTAAACGAGGTTGACAAGGCCCGCACTGCTCCAACCAGGAGGGAGTTCATGCCCTTCCGCAGCGGCCAAACCTGGTTCCACCCTCACAAATCCCGTCTCTAACATCACGGCATGGACAGCGAGGATGAGATATGAACATGCCTGACGAACTTTTCCTCGCTCGGCGTACAAAACACGTTGAAGGAGATCGGGTATCGGCAGGCGACGTCCAACAAATGAGTCAAATCCCTTGCCAGCAGCCATGGCCTCTACAATTTCGTGCCCAACGGAGCTTTGAAAATCGTCGGCAATGTCAATTGGCGAAGGAGAAAATATAGACTCGCACGGTGGCTCTGAAGAAGAAGACTCCAGACCATCTCCGGTTTGCTCGACGGGATGTCGCATCGATTGGAATGAAGTTGCTCTCCTCGCGGCAGCAGATGCACATAAATCACGCAAGTCAGAATTATCCACGGCCCTTCTAGAAGAAACTGGCAAATTAGAGCTGACGTCGATTGCAGTTGAACCGTACACACTCGCTCCTACCGAACTAGAAACCTCCCTTCGCGTAATCGGTGCTCCGCCCACAAGAGCAGATTGTTGAGACGCAGTTGTGGTCGGAAGAGGCAGATTTCCGCTCCCTGTCTCTACAAGATAAAACAAAAGATCCCCGCTCGTGACACCGAAAGAAGATAGAAGGGCGGAGCCGGGGCCGTGGATCGCATCTTTCTTGTTGAGGGACAGACTGAAAGACAGAGGAGGCAATGAAATCAGGGGCGCTAGAACATCTTTGAAACCCTGTAGAGAGCACAGGAGGGGAACTTGCAATCTAACTGTAGGTCCCCCACTCGCTGGCCTCACACGCAGTTTCATGCTCGCCATATTTACGAGACCAGAAAAAGAAGGACCGAGGCAGCGATAAGGAAAATGAATTCTAATAACGCTCACAGCAGCGACTTCTCCTCGGCTCGTTCGTTAGGGATTAAACAGATCTACACTTTAAGAAACCATGGACTTTAAAAAAAAAGTTTCGAACGAATACAACTTCCGATGAAAAGCTCAAGTTTGAACCAGCGGGAAGACTGCTTCGCGTTGCACTGGTTATGAACATACAAGACAGCTATCAAACTACAAAGAGAAAGAAGGAGCCCTCGCGTATCAGACAGTGACAGCCAGGAAAAACGCAACATGCGATGTTGGATATGAACATTTATCAATTATGAATCAAGGGCAGACTCTGGAACTGACAGCGGAACAGCAAAGCTAGATGAAGACACGTCGCAAAAACACGCCGCAATAGAGTCAACGACACGACCAAAGTAAAAGAACACCGGCCACGGGACCGAAACTACACATGATGAGTGACAGCATAACCCCGCTGACGCGAAGGCACTGATTCTACGGAGACGAAAGAAACCATGGAAGCTTCGACGGCAGCCAACAAAGGATAACGAAGGCCGGCCCCCTCATGGAGATTCTCCACGAAACCTATCTCGCGAGCTCATCGCCACGCACGGCCGAGAGAAAAATAATCGAGGCAGCGGCACCGGTGGACGGCGGCACAGACCCGAATCGAGAGCAAGAGAAAGAGAGAGAGCGGAGACGACGATCGCACCGGCGAGCGCCCGCGAACGCGTCGGGACTCGGGGGGCGGCGGAGGAAATTACAGGCATAAGAGGAGAGCGGCAGCAAGAAACACAGCGCAAGGGCGGGCCAGCAACAGGCAACCAGAAGCAGAAGCAGAAACGATCGAAGCCGACGATGAATGTCGGACTGTCTACCTTCGCAACCTCCTTCAATCGGCAATCACTCTCCCTCCCTCTCTCCCTCCGTCCATGCTAGACCCGGAGGCTCTCGCAAGCTGCTTGTCGGCTCTGGAGGCCGATCGATGGTGGCCGCGCCTCCGCATGCGAGGATATCGAGTCGCATGAAAAGTGTACCCAAAAGGTGCGTAGATGGCTTGCATCGAGAGACAAAAGTGCAAATACCGACAGTCCGACCCGCCACCGAACCGCGGAGTCTGTTCGGGCCAGCTTTTACCGCGGGGTAAGTTCCGTGACTCACCACTTACTGCCCATTGGACGCTTTTCTCCGTACGACCTCTCTTCGGTAAACCGCTTGGGCTTTATGACCTTTTGTTTACCCTGCATGCACTTTCACTTTACAGTGCCTCCTTTTCAGATATGGGCGCCGCTGGTGCCAGACCTCCTGGCTGCGAAAATGCTTTCGTTCGCCACTGCGAGCGCGACGAGAAGCCGAGCGGGCCGAGTAAATATAGCAAAAAGAGCCCCGCGCTTCTTTGGGAATCACATTTTCCTCCGGGCTCCCGCTCCGGAGGTTCGGATCATTTTTTCGGTGCGGCTCTGGCTACCCCGCCCACGTGGCGGGAGGGGATTCGGCGTACATGGCTTCGCGGACGTCTGACTCGGATCCAACGGCCTAGGCTGGCAGTCGTGCAGTAGGCACGCTTGCCTTCGGGTCTGGTGGCAATAGAGACAAACCGGGCTCCCTCTGAAACTATGCCACCGCCCATCCCGCTCGACGATGTGGCACCAAGACCCGAAGGTACTTCATCCTCCTGAGTCGAGCACCTCGACAGCATTCGGAAAGACAAGACGCTTTTAAAAGGAAATGAAGGGGAAAGACGGACACTGTAAGGAAATGCATTTAGTGATCGAGAACCAGTTACTGACATCCAATCAGGATGGATCGAAGGCAGGATATGTCCCATGTTGTTATTTATTGTGGTCTGGACCGAGCTGTTTCTTACTGGTGCGACGGGTTGAGGATTGTGATCACTAGGAAATCATTCACTATGTGGAAATTGATGGTATTTTCAGGAAGAAATCAGTTACTTAGCTAAGATAGGTTGTGACCTTGTCTCTTCGAAGAGTGGTTTGTTTGTAGCGAATGCTTTTATTACTTGTGTTGTGACAAAGTTAGTGAGTAAGTACATCACCCAGCTTCAGAGTATTATGATGAAAGAGGTAGCTCATGAACCCTAGATTAGGAGGTTCTATTTTGAACAATGACTTCCATTGTGACTACACATGAAAAGTAAGAAGCTGCAAAACTAGGATGACTTTACCTTTATGCCCGAGTGGGCTCAGAAAATTCAGTTTACACAAGTGCGAGTCTATGTTCAGTAGAGAGGTGGAAAGTTGTCTTAAGAAGCAAGGCAAAAATCAGCAGAAGCACTATAGCTCATCGGAGAAAATTTGAAGGAGTGGTGGTGGGTTTGCAAGTAATGAAACTATTTTAATGAAGTCAATCCTAGTGTTTGTAAGCCATAATAGAATATGGGCTTATGGATACTTAATCTTCTATAGAGTTGGATGAAATAAGCTGGTAATCTACAACAATGATCAGGTGAGTCACATAAAGCATAAATTGACTTTCAAGAACAAATTTTTAGGAGTATTATTGGTTTTTGTCCTTGTTAGCATGATATAAATAAACTTAATACATGATGCAATTTTTTGTAAATCTCCATACTTCCTTGTGTGTTCAAATCCTTATGTTTATAAATATTATTCTAGTACTTAAATCTAGATTTCTATTAGACATCATGTTAAATGTAGATGTCTTGGAAGTCAAAGTTCATGACTTGGAAATAACTCTTAAGCTTGTGGACAAAAAGATTCAACCTATATATGCACATGATATGGTTAGAATTAACAACTAAACAGATGAGTGACTAATGTGAATGTGAATATGAATTTGTTCTATGCAAATTTAGGATTTTATTCTACATTCAATCTCAAGGATTTCTTTTATCTCAAGTATGCTTGCTAATTACACAAATCTTAGCAAGTAATGATGATTCTATAACAACTACATAGATTTGGAAAATTCAACACATAATTTTCCATCCTTTCCATAAAGTCACTAAAAATAGCTTAGACTTATTTTATAAGTTCATGGTACTTTTATTTCAGTGTAACATGCAAAAAAAATAAGAAAAATTTTAAAGAAACAATTACAACTTGGATTGTTCAAACACTAAAATAAATCACTTCAGAATGTTTTTCAAAATCAGATCTAGATTCACCTCACCCTACTTTTTCTACTATAAGATTAAAAAAGTCAATAACCAATATATTTCAAAAGGTTTTTTTGGTTTTGATATCTTATTCCAATCAAATATTATATTCAACCCATGTTTGCATATGTTTCACTTTATCGTGTATTCATACACAAGTCAAGGATTAAATTTTTAACTTACAACTCAATATTATGATCAACATGACTTTTGTTACAATCATTACAAATTGGTGAGATTTAGAGATTAGCAAATTTGCAAAAGTTAGTTGGCTTATGTGAACTAGCTAAACCAACATGCTACTTCTTACACAAGATTGAAAGAGGTTGGAATAACATTTATAGGCTTAAATTATCATGATGATACAAGAAGAGCCAAAAAAATGTTTGAGTTGATGGATCTAGACATTCATGAAGCTCTATGCAATTGTGTGAAACATCTCAAAAAAGCTTATAAGTTTAGCTTTATGATTTCTGTCATGAAATGGTGAATTGTTTAAATTTTAAATATGATATTTCTTATTAACTTTGAAAAAAAATGAGTCTATTACACAAAAAGTTCAAACAAAATCAATGAAAAATTCTTCATATTGTTATTGGTCTGTATTATCGTGTTTGAACTAAGATCAATATGCATATCAATAACAAAGCATATTGATCTTAGTTGAAACATTGGGTGAAAACAAATTTGAAATTGTTTTGAATTATCTGGATGGCTTTGAATTGTTATTGTTTAATTGAGAATCACAAACAAAAATAAAACACAAAAAATCAAGTGACAGTCAACAAGATTAATCGAAACATCAATAATACGTGGTTCACCACAAAGCACTACGTTCACGTGAAAGCTCACACGTGAAAATATACTGAGAGTGTTGATAATAAACAAATCCTGGGGTTAAATATCCCATCATCAGCGATACTTTTAGCTAGAAATAGCTAGACCTTGAGATTACTCCTTAACCTGGAGTTAATGATTGCACCAAGATTCATGGTGGCATGTTCTCATCGCTCTTTGCGAATAGGGAGAAGTTGTAATGAACCATCTTGTTTTTTATTACTTGACTTGTTTTGTTGACAAGCAACACAAATTTGAACATAGGTCTCAACATCATCGCGGAATATGGACCAAAGGTAAACTCGTTGGATGCTCTCTAATATCTTCTCCACTCCCACATGACTTGCGATAGATGAATTATGGTTTTTGTATAATATCATTGTACATAATTATTGGTTTTGCAAAATCCATACATATTGTTTGTAGAAAGCCAAATTTCTAGTCTTTTCTGCACTTCCAGCTTGTAGTGACCTCATGATATCTTCATACTCCTTTGTGGCATGTGTCATCTTGCTTCACCAATCAGCTTGAATCTTCACTTCTGCAACATGATTCAAACAAGGCATGCATGTGAGAGCATCCACAAGTTACTTTTTGCTCTTCACGTACACAATTTTCATGTTGAAGAGTTGACGTCACTCCGTACATCAAATTTGTCTTTTAGACAGATCCTTATGAAACTCCAAATAAACCAAGCGTTTATGAACAATCTCCACCACAAACTCTTTACCATCCAAGTAATACTTCCAGTGTTTTGTTGTCAACACAATTTCTTGTGTTCTGCTGGATGGTAATTTTATGTTGCTGCCACCAACTTTCAAGATTTGAAAAACAACTAGATGTCATCCATCCTCCCATTCTTGTTGAAGTATGACATCCACCGTTATACCTGATGCATCAACAGCCAACTTGATAGGACGGTTAGGATCATACCACTTGAGTATAGGTGCGTGTAACAAAGTATCTTTCAATGCTTGAAAAACTAACCCTTTAGTTGTTCCTCATCTCCATCTTTGAACATTTTCTAGCATAGATATCAGGGACTGAGCTAAACAAGCAAAACCTTTCACAAATCTACAATAGAATTCAATGAGACCTAGAAATTCAACTCAGTTTGATCCTCATGTGTTGTTCATTTTTGAATGGCATCTATCATCACAATCATAACCTGAATTCCTACGATTGTAACTTTATGATCCAAGTAATCTACTTCTGATTTGACAAATTCACATTTTGAAGCTTTGGCATACAATTGATTGTCTCTCGAAACTTGAAGCACTTCTTGTAAATGACGTCTATGATAACTCCAAGTTTTGCTATATACCAATATATCATTAAAAAAAACAATGACAAATTTTTCTAAATAAGTGTAAAAGATATCGTTCATCAATACTATGAATGTAGTTGGTGCATTAATGAGACCAAAAGTCATCATTAGATACTCAAAGTGGTCATACCTTGCACAAAAAACAGTCTTGTGTTCATTTTCATCTGTAATTTAAATTTGATTATAGCCGTTTTGCAAATCTAGCTTGGTGAAATACTTCGCCTCTTGAAGTTGATCAAACAAATCATCAATACGAGATAATGGATTATTTTTTTCATCATTTGTTGATTCAACTCTCGGTAGTCGATGCATAATCTTATGGATCCATACTTTTTCACAAAGAGCACTAGAGCTCCATACGGTGAAACACTTGATTGAATGAATACCTTGCTCAACATTTACTCCACTTTAGCTTTGCATTCTTACAATTTGTAGCCAAACGATATGGAGCTTTGCAAGTTGGTGTTTTTCCAGATGTCACCTCAATCTTGTAATCTACTCGACTGTTTGGTGGTAATCTTGCAAGTAGTTCATCTGGAAAAATATCTTTATACTCTGTAAAAATGTTGTTCAAGGACTTTGGGATGTAAAGTTTGTACGTGGATCCGATATCTCTTATAAGTCCAAGGAAACATACATCATCACTAGAATGTGATGATTTATTCATCACAAATAGGGATAAATTCCTATTTTGAGATCTAATTCTAACTTCCGCTCCTTCTCGAACTATTTCATTATTTTCACAACTCTCTTGCAATTTTAGATTTCATGGTCGCTCAATCTCACCTCAAATTTTGGGGTATTCTCTTGTTGGTGCAAAATATTCTACACCTCAAAGTACTTTCAACTTCATCGGTGTAGGGCTTGATGGATTTTTAAAATTGCTTCGTTTAGTGCGGATGTATTGCTGACCATCACCTCCTTTTGAATTTGATTTTTCAAACCTTGTTTGAACACGTCCAAGCCTCTACTTCACTCATATACATCATATATAATTGAAGATCACAGATTTTTTAATGTATTCATGGATATTTCCTTTCAACTTCAAATCCCACAACCTCATTCTTGCGGTTTGAAACGAATCCACCGCTTGAAAACTATGCAAAAGTACTTCTTGCATTTCATTCCACAAAATGGTAGTGACTCATACTGAAAGCTCTCTCTTCCATGTTGTGTATCATGTAAAAGTTGTATCCGTAAGATAAAATCTCATGAACATTCTAATATAATCAAAAATATAAAAATAGGAGAAATGAATATTCATTTTCATTATACAATCCTCCAAACTTCCATCATTTTATTCACTTTGTAAAGTTTCACCTTACAAGATTTTCCCATTCAAAACAAATGATTTGCTTGATCTGCAATCTCGTGAAAACATTTACTATTTGTCTCAACTGCATCATTAAAAGTTGGTTCTGGTTGGACTTAGGAACCTTGAATTTGAGGTTCAAATTCTATATCTTCAATTCTTTCTCTCTCTAGTTTCTCACTCTTAAATGCAAAGATTTTATCTTCCATGACTTGTTGATTAATATATACATCTACTTTCGTTATTCTCAACTCCTTCATCTCCGCCATGATTATGTTGAAAACCTCATACGTATAGATTGATGTTTCCATGTTTTCACACTCACTTTAATACAAAATAATTATAATCACTATCTGACCTTTCAAAAATGAGTCACACAAGTTATTGTTGATTCTATCGAAGCTCTACAGTACTACTTTCCATAATTTATCACAAGAAAATCTCTTTTCTGTCCATATACAATTCTAATCTTTACATAAATGTTGAACTGAACCAGGACGTATGGTTTGTGATTCAAATTTATGAAACAGCATATAACGTAAATGATACAATCTTAAGTCTGTCCATAATTAACTATTGGAAGAATCAGTGGCTCTTCCAATTCATCACTCTAGTTATAAAATCTACACCATCAAGCCACTAAGTACATCCAAAAATGATGTTTCTTCATGCAACAAAGGTGAATATCGAATAGGTTAGGAATCGGCCAATGCAACACTTGATTCTTGTCAAGTTCATCCATATCTGCAAAACCACAATTTTCAATTTTCTCATCTCTCTACATGCAGATCAATGATTCATATTATACTCAAAATTGCATTCCATTAT